ATCTTTCCTTGAGCAACGACCAGGATAAATCCCGACAGACGTATGTACTGTATACTGAACTTCTTTCGCACCGTACATAGCAAACCGTGCTAAGGACAACAAACAAAACAAAAAGTTCGTTATTAAACCAAGACACAAGCAGCTCTTATCGTCTAGCTACATGTCTGCGGGGAAGGATTTGATTCACGGACAGCCGGTCATCTCGACAGCTGGACGTGCAGTGACAGCACGTGCAGGGTGTGTTGTGCTTGTGTACTGTGGTGACATTGCACGGGTACACGTGGGGGGGACTTTACCGCTAGCGAGCCGAGTGAGTGACGGTTGCCGACTTACTCCCACAAACACTCCTCACCCCGTGCTGCTGTGCATTCTGGGCAGGAATATTAAACCCATTCAGGCTGGTGTTCACATACCAGGCAGACTTTAATCAAAGACTAAAAAAACATAAACGTTTGTTTTACGATGACGACGCGCCTGAGTATGACTCTAACGTCTTTCTTTTCTTATTTAACGAAGATTAACAGCCTGAGACAAATATCCCAGTTACGCGTCGACCAGACTCGAGCCATTTGTGTTTTGGGCTGCGTAGCCATCTCGGTAGTGACACGACCAGCGGTAGGTAGCGCATTCGCCGCTTGTTGCAGAGGTTCACGGTCTGAATGCAGCGGCTGCCCCGGTTATTACTGCGGGCGATTTAACCGTAAAATATTACTACATTTGAGGACTGGTTCAGATAATGGTCAATTGGCGTTGGCCGTGCGCGGGAAGCAATGTTCGCCGGGCTCGATGCGTAGCGCACTAACCAGTGCACTATCGCTCCGCACTCCTCACAAACACACACAAAATATAGCCTGAACAGATCATTGGGGCAAGTGCTGCTAGCGAGCACCTATCTAGGCCAGGACGGCACACGAGGGAGTGGGTGGCCAGTACCACGCCCGACCGCCTTTGTCTCCCCAGTGGCGATGTTTACACACCGCACCAGGTATTCATTTGAGGCTGAGTCGACCTAGGGGAGGCCCGGGACCGGTTCAAATGATCCTCACTAGTGTTGGCCGTGAGCGGGAATCGAACTCGCGTCGCCAGGTTCGTAGCGCAGCGCGCTAACCATTACAATACTGCTCACAAACACACACACATATGCACACCCAGACGTACACAATTACACATACACAATGCGTACTGACGCACTCCTCTGTTGAGCAATACACTCCATTGATACGGATGTGTGAAAAATATTTTGCGCCGCGAATGTGGTCGGTTTTTTTTGTTCGATTCAAAGCGTGCGATCGGGTGTGATGTGCCCAGCCAGTGGAGAGTGTAACGCGATACCTGAACGAGTTGGGATTACCAAGCACGTGCAACTCAGTGAGGTGTCACGAATGAGTGCTGGGTGGGTGGGGGGTGGCGGGAGATGCACCGCAAATTAAACGTCACGCGAGACCACTCCACGGCCTCAAGCCCCGGCAATGACACTAGGTTCGTGCGTGCCGCAAGCGTACACGGACCTCCCTGATCCTCATCCTCTCTGTCTAGACCCCGAGAGTCGAAGCAGCTCTTAACTTGGTTCCTACTTGGATCGGGGACGACCTGGGAATTCCAAGTAGCGTAAGGGCTAGAGGGCATGGCAGCACAGTGGATTCTTGAATGCATCCGTGCGGAGCTTTCAGTGTTTGCTCCTTCGTACGCAAGGTGGGGTTTTTTTCGGGTTCTCCGGACTACTAAATAAAGATTCTGATTCCGGCATGAGGCAACAGTTCTGGTGAATGGAATTGGCCAAGACCCGTCTGAAAAAAAAATATTGAAGCTCAATGAGGCTTTGTGGGAACAGAGCACGATTATTATTATGACCATGACTGCATGAACACCCAAAACACAATTAGACAGCGGCAGCAGCGTTACTGTGGCACATATAATTGTCTCCGAAACTATAACTCAGTGTGCGCATGAGTGTCTCTGCGAGGCGTTCTGCATTGACAGAGGCAGCAGCAACCGCCGCTACTTTCAGCGGGTGTCTCTCATCGCCCAGTGCCAGGCGAGGTACACGTTTAGACCGGGCAACGAAAGGTGGCGAAGGTTTGCTGTTGGCGGGAGGTCACGGGAGAGGCCCATTTGTTACGAGTTCACAAATATCCCCCGTATAGCTTTAACAGACTATCGGGGCAAGTGTGGTCAGCGAGCACCTATTAAGGCCGGAATGGCGCACGAGCGTGGCCATGTTGTTACACACCGCACCAGGTACCAATTTCAGGCTGAGTCGGTCAAGAGGTGGCCCAGAATCAATTCAGATCATCGTCACTGGTGTTGGCCGTGAGCGGGAATCGAACTCAGGTCGCCGGGTTCGTTGTGCAGCGCGTCACCGCTCCCCACACACACACGCGCACACACCAACACACGCGCACACACCGCCACACACCCCCACAACAAAGATCAAAGATCCTCCATATAGCCTTAACAGACTGTAGGGGCAAGAGCTGTTAACGAGCACCTATGAACGCCGGAACGGTACACGAGGGGGTGGGTGGCCAGCACCACGCCCGACCGCCTTTGTCTCCCCAGTGGCGATGTTTACACACCGCACTAGGTACTCATTTGAGGCTGAGTCGACCTAGGGGAGGCCCGGGACCGGTTAAGATAATCGTCACTGGTGTTGGCCGTAAGCGGGAATCGAACCCGGGTGGCCAGGTTCATAGCGCAGCGTAGCGCTAACCACTACACTACCGCTCCCCACAACAAAGATTAAAAAAAACACACACACACCCACACACACACACCCACACACACGCCCACACACACGCGCACACACACACCCGCACACACGCGCACACACGCGCACACACACACCCACACACACCCACACACCCATACACACGCGCACACCCACACACACACCCACACACACCCACACACCCATACACACGCGCACACCCACACACACACCCACACACACCCACACACACCCACACACACACACACGTGCGCGGTGATTGTTATGGGATTGGAAGCGCTTTCTTGTTTTTCCGCTCCGATGAATTCAGCAGCCTGCACATTAATTCCGGCTCAGCGGGGGGGCGCTGCTTCGGGGGATCGTGGGGCGGGAGTGGGGGGGGTAAAAAAAGTGGGAAATATAAAGACGGGCGGGGAGGGGGAAGAAAGGGGCGGGGGGGGAGGAAGGGGGCGGGGGAAGGGTGGGGTGAAGGGGGCGGGGTGGGGGTAAGGAAGGGGGCGGGGGGAAGGGGGGCGGGAGGGGAAGGGGGCGGGGGGAGCGGGGGGGGAAGGGGGGGGTGGGGGCGGGGGGGAAGGGGGGGAAAGGGTGGGGGCGGGGGGGAAGGGGGTGGGGGCGGGGGGAAAGGGGGGGGAAGGGGTGGGGGCGGGAGGAAAGGGGGGAAAGGGGTGGGGGCGGGGGGGCACAGGCGAAGTGATGGACGGCGGAGGTGGCCGCAGCATCGCCCCCAGCACCGTCCGGGAGACGCCATCGCCACCACCACCACCACCTTCCTGCTGCGTCTGCGGCTCCGAGGAATCGCTCGGCTCACCCGACCCACCCGGTGCAAGGTGACGACGCTGTTGGGAGTTGTGGATGCGACGGGGAGGTTGTGGAGTCAGTAGGTCCGTGCACTGCGTTCTTCAACCTGCCCATCGGAGTTCGATTCCCCGGCTACAACTGACATCGGTGGCCAGTGGTATCTCGATTTCGGCCTTGGTGCAGAGACCCCATCATCTTTGGCGGGTCCCAGGCCCCACAAGCGCCCCTCCCGCCATGGAGGGCCCTGCTTGCCATTGTCCTGTACCGAATGCCTGCACCTGAACAGCCCCACGGCCCACAGTGAGGGGTGGCGATGGCGTGGGGAGGCATTAATAAAGCAGTGGATAGACCATGTGGTTAACGATGGTTGATGACGATGACCAGGCCACTCGCCATCATTCGTCACGTAGCGCAGTTCTTGTAGATTAAATCACGATCTAACCCAACAACAGACACTCTACGAATCGTAACATTGGTCGTGAAAGCCTCTACGTATACAATTGCCGTATATCTCACCTCATTGTCTGCAAGCTAAATGCATATTGTTTGGGTCTTTCGGTGAAGTCACGTAGATAGGTTATTTAGATTATTCACGTAGATCGGTTATTTTCTTTCTACTTGCTTTCAACTTATCGACCTGACTTTACCGAAAGAACCAAAGAATATTAATTCCTGCAGTCACGAAAGCTTTTAGTCAAAAGCGAAATGCATCTTAAAAAAAAGCGTAAATGAACCTTCAAACTGTTATCTTGACGCCGAGTAGCGCCATGGTTTTTCGAAGACAAGAAGACATTTACATCCAGCCCTCTTGATTTTGTCCCAAAAATGATTCGTGAAAGGCGCACTTGAGAAGGGGCTGGCGGGGGGGAGGGTTACGGGAGTTCGATGGGGGAGAGAGACCCTGGCCAAGTGAAAGAGATTAAGTAGAGGTCACGACTCCACCAGAGAGAGATGGGTGGAGACAGAGAGACACGGAGAGAGATACAGAGAGAGATGGGTGGAGACAGACACGGGGAGAGATACAGAGAGAGATGGGTGGAGACAGAGAGACACGGGGAGAGATACAGAGAGAGATGGGTGGAGACAGAGAGACACGGGGAGAGATACAGAGAGAGAGATGGGTGGAGACAGACTTTTAAACAACTTTTATTGCCGCCAGCAGCAAAAGCACTCGAGGCGATTTCGATATGAAACACACAGTCACCAGCAAACAAATGAAAATAAACGCTACAAATCCACGCGCTGTGGCGCTAAAAAGCACAGCGCACAACATGAAAGAAAAGTCACGTGGTTGTGGTGGTCATTCGCGCAGGCCACGTTGACGAGCGAGCGCTTCAGAAGGTGAACATAAGGGGGGTGCCGTCCACGCTGGTACAGAGGGCTTTTCCGGCTCCCCAGCGTTCGAAGTAGACGTGCACATCACCGACACGTGTGTGTGGTACGTGGCGTGCTCCAGCCGGAGCCGCGCCTTAAGCAGGCCTCTGAACACTGGAAGCAGCACAGAGCAGCCGTCAGTGTCACATTCCAGCATCTTTTTTCTCGTTCTATACACCGCCAACTTCGCCTGAGCACAGGCGAAGTTGGCGGGGTCATGGCGTTTGTTAGACAGGTAAGGCACCCCATATACGAAGCTGCTGTTGTAGAAGAGTACCCCCAGTTTCCTGAAGATTTCCCCCAAAAGGCGGAAAATTAGTTTGAGCCGCTGGCAGTGTAAGTACTGGTGGGGCAGATCCTCCCTGGCACCGCAGGAAATGCACAAGTCTCTTACCCCTGGCGATATTCGGCTGAGCCACACGGCCGATGGCAACGTGCAGTGTGCCAACCTCCACTGGAGGACACCGCAGCGTTTGTCTACGGGAGACAGAGAGACACGGGGAGAGATACAGACAGAGAGATGGGTGGAGACAGAGAGACACGGGGAGAGATACAGAGAGAGATGGGTGGAGACAGAGAGACACGGGGAGAGATACAGACAGAGAGATGGGTGGAGACAGAGAGACACGGGGAGAGATACAGAGAGAGATGGGTGGAGACAGAGAGACACGGGGAGAGATACAGATAGAGAGATGGGTGGAGACAGAGAGACACGGGGAGAGATACAGAGAGAGATGGGTGGAGACAGACACGGGGAGAGATACAAAGAGAGATGGGTGGAGACAGAGGGACACGGGGAGAGATACAGAGAGAGATGAGTGGAGACAGAGAGACACGGGGAGAGATACAGAGAGAGATGGGTGGAGACAGACACGGGGAGAGATACAAAGAGAGATGGGTGGAGACAGAGGGACACGGGGAGAGATACAGAGAGAGATGGGTGGAGACAGAGAGACACTGGGAGAGATACAGAGAGAGACGAGTGGAGACAGAGAGACACGGGGAGAGATACAGAGAGAGATGGGTGGAGACAGAGAGACGGGGAGAGATACAGAGAGAGAGAGACAGAGCCAGAGAGACACGAGGAGAGATACAGAGAGAGATGGGTGGAGACAGAGACACGGGGAGAGATACAGAGAGAGAGATGGGTGGAGACAGAGAGACACGGGGAGAGATACAGAGAGAGAGATGGGTGTAGACAGAGGGAGACGGACGGACAAACAAAACGGGAGATGGCCACGGGGAAACAAATATGCAGACACGGAGATATATAGAGACGGGCAGATACAGAGATCGAGAGGGCGATATGGAGAGAGCTACAGAGAGAGAGAGACCGAGATAGAGGGAGATAAAAACAGAGGTGTTGACAGCGAGAGATGTAAAGAGAGCGATGGGCACGGAGAAGCGATGGAGACACGTGGGTAGAGAGAGAGACCGAGATGGTTCACGCAGTGCCATGCTAGTCCCGTGCGATCCGCACACCGTCTCGTCATGCTCGGCTCGCCCCGCGCTGCCACAGTCTGTCCATTCAGGTAGTCACGGGGCCTTGTTCGGCGGCGTGTGTGTGGGTCTGGGGGCGACAAATCGCGACTATGACTGCACGCCGAGTAGCAACGACAGTGGCGAACACTGATCCTCGTGCCGAGTTCCACGAGCGGTGATGATGTCTCCCGTGCGCCCTGGCAGTGCATTGATATTCACTCCTCCTCGCCTATCCTCAATCACACAGGCCTGATGTGATGCATGCTAATTATCTGAGAAGTTGTAAACATTGCTAAAATCGGTTGCTGCATGCTCATAAACACAGAAATGGGCACTTAAATCATCCAAACTGGACGACTCTTTGAATTCCGAAGAGAAAATAATTGGTGGCCATCTTTAAAAAAAAAAACATCTGCCAACTTGGATTTTTCAAGCGGCTAACTTTGTTTTTCCCCTCTGTAAAGATACCGACAGCATTGTGACCATCTATATCACTGTGACTAGTATTGTAACTATCTGTAGCATTGTGACCATCTGTATCACTTTCAAAAGTATTGTGACTATCTGTACCATTGTGACCATCTGTAGCACTGTGACTTGAGCTTTGTGACTCGCGAATGTTCATGCTTGTATCACAATTTAAACGATTCCTGTGATTAAGGGGGGCGGGATGGAATGCACTCGACTGCTCCACTAGGGCTGAGTGGGAGCGCGGCACCACCACCACCGTCGTCGGCTGTGGAGTGGCTTGGAGTGGCCCTCGTCCTCTTTCCTCTCCGCTTCTTGGCCTCCCGCCTCATCCACTCCGAATACTCCGCGAGCCGCGAGGTGCCAAGCGCCAGGTTAATTGGCCACAGCCACCGCAGACAATTTGCTCCTTGATTGCGGGGACAAAAATTCAGCCCAGTTAGTTTTACATAGAATCTCGAGCGCTTGTGCGATTAATTTGTTTTCGCGTTTGTACGTTTGGTTGATTTATTTTGGTGGTGGAATCGCCGTCTCTGTCTGCTTGGGACTCTGTCCGCTCGCTCGATCGCTCGATCATTCATCCACTCGCTCATTCGTTCGCCCCCAGCTCCGCTCTGCTCGCTGCTGCCGCTCGCTAACAGCAAGTTCCCCAGGCAATCCGGGCCGCGTTGAAAATAATGTTCTCATTAAACCATAAATATTAATGAGCGCGCCACATTTTAGGGAGCGGTTTTTTTCCCCGCTGCCAATTAGCGTGTAATTTTTCTGAGGAAATATTGCGATTTTGCATTTCATTAGCGCAGAAAACGGTGAGAGCGTGGACGGTGGTTTTGGCGGCGGTTGGCTCGAGGATTGCAAGGCCCTCCCGCTGCTACTGCTGCCTTTCGGACACTAATTAATTATCTCTCACAGCCCCGAGCCTCCGTGAAGTCGTGTTGTAAATTACACAAATAAAATGTAACGCGCACGTAACACATGGCCGGAACAAATGCGATGCTGCTGCTGCGTATTTGTTCTGTTTGTCCATTAAAAACAAAATGAAAACGTTGTTTTATTACTAAATCACCTCCATAATTTATATTCCTGCATTGTGAAATTATTATTTATTCAGGATGAATGTTGCCGTGTATAACGGCACGACATTTGTATGGACCAAATATTACATTTTTAATTTATGCTTTAATTTATTTATATTTAGTGATTTGCTTATCGTTTTTATTGTGTTTGTTGTTGTAACTTGCTGACCCTCCCATACTGGACATCCGTTAAAAATAACTTAATAGCTCATCGGATTCCTCCAGTCTAAATACATATTCTAATATTATTACACAGTGCACATAGGAGTAGGTATATAACTGTGCCCGTCAGAACTGGGAAGCTAAGCTGGTTTTAGACTTGTAGATACTTGATGTGAGTGAAGCCCAGAGCTTGATGGGAACTGCGTGGTATCCACAACACACGGTGGCTGTTCTCCAAGTCCTCCAGTTTCCTTCCACAAAAAGCCCAACACTCATCGATGAATTGGCCAAACATCCCAAAGGCCGGACCCTCCTGCAACACATATTGAGCCTCATTGAGGCTTTTCTGCATGGGTAACAATGTCACTCGCAATGTCTCGCAATTTCCAACGTAACAATACCATCATCGGTTGATATTTAAATGGTAATATCAATGAGTGATTATTCTCAGAGCGCTGAAACAAATATATTTTCCAGCACTGGTCAACCGTAGATGCGAGAATATACTCATCTGGAGGTCCCAGAGAGAAAGTTCTTAATAGATGCAATGTGTCATCTAAATATAACCAATGTGACACTGTGAAGTGAGATACTTGATAAAGGGAGTCAAAGTAAATGAAACCCGAGTGGAATAAAAAAAAGCAATCAGAGAGAGCGCTGTGTGTGTGTGCGCGCGCCTGAGTGGCCTTGGCTTGCCTTCATCGTCACGCAGCCAAAGCTACTCAGGAATGCTTCCACCAGGTTACACCCGTGACGTGGTTTTATTAGTTTTGAATACGTTTTTATTCTATTAAGACTTTGGGGGTGCGATTGCTGTGAACAAACAAATACAAGGCAATTGCAGCGCAGCATCGTTTTTTTATGAACAAGTTGGGATGCATTTTGAATTAAAGCTTTCGTGACTGCAGGAATTCATATACTTGGGTCTTTCGGTAAAGTCACGTAGATAGGTTAAATTAAAATAACAAAAATCTACGACGTTTCGATCGCAACACAAGCGGTCGAAACGTCGTAGTGTTTTTTGTTATTTTCTTTGAACCTATCTACGTGACTTTACCCAAGAATAAGTTGGGATGCCTCAACTGCAGTACAGCAAGGAGGAGGCTACAGTCAATCTGCTAGTCTGACATTACCCCCCCCCCCCCCCCCCGCCCATGGCGAGCTACCTGCACAGACCCCGGACCAAAACTCACATCAATCCCCTATCCAGGGATCCCAGTGTGCACCTTCAACAACCGCCCTCGGTAAATGTGGTGTGTTCACGGAAGGTTTACCGGGATCGGGATTATTCGGAATCTGATGTTTCTTATTTCCCATTGAGTTAAAGCCTATCGAGCTAAGCCAATAGACAAGGACTTTTGCTCCCAACGATGGTCCAACGTTGGCCCAACGTTGGTCATGTTCACTGGGTATATGGCCCTTTGTTCAACGGCGACTCAGCAAGCGGACACATGACGTCAGCAAAGTGTTGTTTTCTGTACAGAGGCGGACGAGCGTGAGTTGGAGCGCTTTTGTAAAGGTGAACGCGACACTTGCAATCTGCCTAAAGAAGAGCGTTTTGAATCGGTGCCGTCCCATAAAAATGCCCACTTCATGACGGCACCGCCGCCACATCCGTACCTCGCGCAGGGCATCGTTAGGATGGCTCGGGCCGTTCTCGTGTCGACTCGCAGCCCTGCACGTGTCCCATGCTTGACAAGTTGTTGCTCGTTTGCCGTCCCCTGCAAGTGCGCGACTGACCCCTTGCCCTTAGCACTGCGGCCCTGTATAGCACCAGTCACAGTGGCCGTCATCGGCTTGTCAATAAAACACCTCCCCACCTCCCCCATGCATACGCAGCTCGGGGAATTCAAATGCCAGTCTAGCGATTTCTACCAACGCCTCCGGCTACATCTGCGATAACTCTCGGCACCACGGCTGTTCCGTCGCCGTGCTATATTGGGTATTTCTTGATAGCCTTGCTGTGCTACGAATGTCACGATGTGACCGCGTGTACTTAGATTTCTTGGAATGCTGCCCAAGAAACCAGTGGTGGAGGTGGCTCCGGAGGAGTGGGGGGGTGACTGATACAGAGCCAGCACCGCAGAGATGCGGGGTTCCACTCAGGGTTTCAGCCACTGCCAGTGATTAAACCGGGCTCTCAAGTGTAGCGAGTTGATGGTCTCAGCCTGATTACCAATAACTGTACGAAAAAAACCCATTGTATTTGCTTTTCCTGCATTATGCAACATGTTTAACTCCAAGTGCTTGACTTATTTATCCGTTTCACTGGCATGCAATGCACACCTCTAACAGCAGGCTAAGTGCAGCGCCCCCAGTGTGGAAAAGTGGCATTTAAAGGGAGCTCAGAAGTAGTTCTGTGATGTAATTTTTAGGAGGCGGTTCTGAAAAAGTTTCGATGTGCATCTTATTTGCCTGATGAGATGGTATCAATAGACGTGATTGAAATCATCATAATAATCAGCCATTACCTATCCACTGCTGGATGAAGGACACGAGAATAGTCCCAGTTCTTGTTGGTTACGTGTAGCCTCGTTCGGTATTGTGTGATATTCTTCCCATGACATACGTCAAGGCTGTTTGTATCTCGGAGGCGGCAACCCCAGGCACGACTCGGCTGCTGATTTGAAATTGCCTGAGCGTGCGCAGGTGCAGAAAAGCGTTCTTCACTTGAGTGAGAGAACGACTGAGAGTGTAATCAAACCTCTCCCTCTCGGAGAGGCTGCAAGCGAGCACGAGACGCGATCGCATCTAAACTGAACAATATTTATTTTACCAGGTAAGGCCCACTGAGCTATACAGCGCTTTTTCAGACGCAACCTGGCAACAAATGATAGTCCAATGAAGTGGCTTATGTGGAATGTTATAGCAGCCAAACACTCTATAAACGCACGTTGGTTCAAAATGTGGAGGGAAACACTGGAGAACCAGGAGAGAGAGGGAGAGAGAGAGATGCAAACTCCAAATATACAGCTGTCAGGGTTGGGATTGAACCGAAGACCTATTGTATACAAGGCGAGGTAGTTAACATCTCGACACCACGTCGTCTGCAGAAGCAGCGCTCCGGTTTGTCGGCTCCGAGCGAGCACCGCAGACCCTTGCCGATGGGCGCTGAGAGCTGAAGTATCCCTCGTGTCAATGGACGCTAATGCAGTTTGCGATGCAGTGGTGGCGGTGGTTATGTGGGGAGCAGTAGCATAGTAGCGGTTATCGCGCTGCACTATGAACGCGGCGACCGGAGTTCTATTCCCAACTCACAGCCAACACAAGTCACCATGATCTGAACCGGTCCTGGGAATCACCTAGGTCGACTCGGCCTCAAATGTGTACCTGGTGTGGTATGTAAACATCGCCACTGTGGAGGCGGACGGGCATGGTGCTGT